GCAGGAAGGGCATCTGCTGCGTAAAACCTATGCTGGATAAGTTGGAAGGTCATTCCGCTGTGGCGACCCCTGATTGATAAAGGGACTAAGCCGAAAAGAAAATGAATGAGTTGGCGGTTCATTCCGCTGTGGCGACCCCTGATGTATAAAGAACTAAGCCGAAAAGCAAATGAACATATGAGTGTGTGTTTGAATGTCTGTATGGGTTTTTCCCAGTGATGGGTTGCAGCTAGAAAGGGCATCCGCTGTGTCATAAATGTTTGAATAGTTGGCGGTTCATTCTGCTGTGGTGACCCCTGATGAATAAAGGGACTAAGCAAAAAAGAAAGTGAATGTGTGTTTGAATGTATGTATGGGTGTTTTCCAGTACTGGGTTGCAGCTGGAAGGACATATGCTGGAATATTTGCTGGTTCATTCCACTGTGGCAACCTCTGATAAATAAAGGGACTACGCCGAAAAGAAATGAATGTGTGAGTGTGTGTTTGAATGTCTGTATGGGTGTTTCCCAGTGCCGGGTTGCAGCTGAAAGGGCATCTGCTGGGTTAATCAAATGCTGGAATAGTTGGCGGTTCATTCCGCTGTGGTGACCCCTGATAAATAATGGACTTTAAATAAATGTTTAATATTTATTTAAATGAAGCGGCTCCTTTAACCAGCAGGTGGCGCAGTTTATCAGCTTTTCTTCTAATATTCTGACCTGCCCAATACATCATCACTATATTACAACACATCATGCATTATTGCTGTGTTATACTGTTAGTGTGTAGTTATTTCTCATTTTACTTATTAAAAACATTTTGCAAATTATAAATTACATTGATTATAATTAAAATATTAATATTAAAATATATAAATTATATTATTATTTTACTGTTTTTTTACAAAATTATAAGAAATATTTATTTATTTATTTTATTTTCGGCTTAGCTCCTTTATTCATCAGAGGGCGCCACAACGGAATGAACTGCCAACTATTTCATCATATGTTTTACACAGCGGATGCCCTTATAGCTGCAACCCAGTACTGGGAAACACCCACACACACTCATTCACACTCACACACTATGGCCAGTTTAGTTCCCCTATAGCGCACGTGTTTTGGACTGTGGGGGAAACTGAAGCAAACCCACGCCAACACGGGGAGAACATGCAAACTCCACACAGAAACACCAACTGACCCAGCCGAGACTCAAACCAGCGACCTTCTTACTGTAAGGCTACAGCAATACCCACTTTGCCATCAATTATTAAGCAAATTAATTCCTAAACCCTCCCCAGAAAAGATGCAATCAAACAACAACTGGGATTTGATGGAGGAAAAATAAATCATTAAACAATATAATAAAAGAAAGAGACTTTTAATTTGTCATCAAATAATGATTAGCATTAACTCCCCGACAGACACATTGATTATCTGACTGATCTCAGCGGGTCTCTTCTGTAAATCACGATAACACTGACAGTCATTATTATTTATAATAATAAAAAAAATTAATCAAACAAGAAACATCTGAAGGATGAAGAAGCAAACTAGAAGCTCCACTTTTATGACAGCTTTAGGCTCATTTCAGCTTTCGTTCATCAGCAGGATCTCTGCAGCTCAGTATCATTGTTCCTGTATGACGTCACGTGGTTAACAGTAAGGACGACTCGCAGCAGGAAGAGGCCGCTTTACATTTACCAACACTGCTGTAAAGGAGGAAATCAGGTGAAACTGTTAACAGCATGATTAACACTCGCAGATTTACACATTATATAATCATAAATAAACATGAATGAAGCCAGTGCTTTAACATGGGAGAGCGCATTCAGCCAGACGGTGTTAGATGATTCTCCTGAATGCGGTGTGTGTACAGTAGCTGTGTGTCGTCTGGGGGTTATTACAGATTAAAGTGCTGGAGTTATAGTTATTTCCTCCTAAAGTGAGTCTAGTAAAGTGAAATCGCTATTTCTTGCTGCACATATATGCTGCTTTGTATCAGATTTGCATAGTGTATAATCTAAAATGGTCTATATTAATCAATGCATAATAGTCTATTGTTATTTAACAACAACAACAACCAATCAGAGTACAGTAGAGGTGTCTGGCCAATCAGAGTAGAGTGCAGTAGAAGTGAAGAGCAGGGGAGCGGGTGGGGGGGTTTGCGCTTTGGGTTTGGTTACTGGGATGGAGGTTGCGTGCTGTATTCGGTGGGCGAACATGCACCAGACTGTACCAAAAAGCTAGAGGGGGGGAGGAGGTGTTTTGATCTGGGAAACAGAACAACATGGGAATTTGGGTCTGAAATACTGAAGACTCCTGTGAAAACCGTGAGTGTTGGAAGGTATGCAGAACAGAGTCTTCTCACCAATCAGATTACAGTTATCTGACAAATCAGAACAGAGTCTTCTGACCAATTAGAACAGAGTCTTCTGACCAATCAAAGCAGATTAGAGTCTTCTGACCAATCAGAACAGAGTCTTCTGACCAATCAGATAAGAGTTATCTGACCAATCAGAACAGAGTCTTCTGACCAATCAGATAAGAGTTATCTGACCAATCAGAGCAGAGTCATCTGACCAATCAAAGCAGATAAAGTCTTCTGACCAATCAGAGCAGTCTTCTGACCAATCAAAGCAGATTAGAGTCTTCTGACCAATCAGAGCAGAGTCATCTGATTAATCAAAGCAGATAAAGTCTTCTGACCAATCAGAGCAGTCTTCTGACCAATCAAAGCAGATTAGAGTCTTCTGACCAATCAGAGGAGAGTTATCTGACCAATCAAAGCACAGTAGAGTTAACTGACCAATCAGAGCAGTCTTCTGACCAATCAGAGGAGAGCGATCTGTCCAGTCAGAATAGAGTATAACCATCTAACCAATCAGAGTAGAGTCATCTGACCAATCAGTAAAATAGATAGTAAAAAAATCAAAAACTAAATTTAGCATGAAATATTATTACTAAAACACAAAAATACTAAATAAAACTAAATATATATATATATATATATATATATATATATATATATATATATATATATATATATATATATATATATATATATATATATATATATAT